GTTGAATGAGTTCTGTTACTTGGACGCCCCGCTTGGCTGAAGTGGTGGGCTTGCTGCAGTGTATCGTGACAGATTCATATGCAGAGCTATTAACTCTGAAGGTTTTTCCTCTTTTGAATCTCAGTCGCTCAAAATAGGTGCAATTAATACATTTTACTGTATTCATTTACCATCCTCCTGGTCTGGCGGGCGTCTTCCTCACTGATTTTACAGACTTTTTATCATCTATCATTAAATTGGAGGTCTTAATTTTGGAGGACTTTAACCTGCATATTGATGATACCACATTTAACACAGCTGTGGATCTCCTGTCTAGCATGTTTCTGGACCCACACATATAAAGGGTCACACCATGGACCGTGTCTTCTCACTTGGTCTTGATATAGTAAATGTTCAAGTAGAAGATGTTCATGTGAGTGATCACTGCTGCGTGTTATCTGACATATGGGCTCTGTTCGAAAACCTAGGACGTGTCCTCCAAGGACGCGGTCTACCTAGACTGGATCCTTCGAAGTCCTTGAAAATAAGGAGGCCGGAAGAGTTTAGGCTGTGAATTCGACCAGGTCTACCCTTCGGCGGGTTTTACCGCCGTATGCTCTGTTGCTTAGCAACCGTAAACGTTGACACACAAAGCAGGAAAAGAATGAATACAGAAGTTTTCAAAACTGTTTATTTATTTCTTTTTTATTGTGAAGTGAACAAAGACTACACTCACAAGAATCCAGAATGGAATAAAGGTTCCAACCACCGGGAGCAGGAACAAATAAAATCAAATGTAATGATAGAAACCTTAGTTAGTTAAATAACCTGCTGCTGTCATTTTGCACATCTCTGATGTTGCTGCTATTTTCGAATATCCATTACTGTAAAAATGTCCATAGCTGCATATTGGTTATTTATTCTCCAGTTTTATATTGTTAAAACACTTTACAGTATTTTATTGTTTATATTTTAACTCTTCCCTATTATGTTATTCTTATACATTTTTTTAAGGTCCACATTTGTGTGACCATTTTCAATGATCTTTCTGCTGCTGTAAATTTGCCCATTGTGGGAAAATAAAGGGATTTTCTTTTCTATTCTATAAAAGGGGTAGAAAGATATAAGTTAATCTAAACAATGTATTTATAAAAAATATATCTGCAAAATCTCTAATATTCATCAACAAAAAATACGTAGTTACGCATATTGTGCAAAACAGCAATAAAAAGATAAAAATCCTATCAGATTTATAGTCCCCACCCTGCAGATCTATTAGAATCTGTCCTTAAATTACAGCCAAACCCATTTACCCAGTAACAGATAAAAACCTTTAGATAAACCAAACATTACCGCCACATATCTGACTCTATAACCATTAAAACAACTATTTTTCATTAATCTCAGACGGAACTATTAAATGACTTGTATTATATTAAACTGAACTTCCAATTTTCACCTCTGTTCGGCGACAAGTAACCTTTACTCTGATCACAGCTTGCTTGGTCTCGCAATGAATCCTGGGTAACCAAGGATACCGAGGATACATCAGACCCGTCCTTCAAATCGGGCAAAAAGAAGGACGCATTTTAAGGCCGCATAACGAGGACTCTTGGAATCCGACCAGACCTTGGCGCCGCGCTATGACGTAATCGGCCTTCGAATCCGGTCTTCTAAGGAGGTTTTCGAACAGAGCCCAACTTTCCTCTGGATCCTCCGCCCCTGGGAATTAGGGCTCAAAGGTGGATTATTATTCCTGATGCTGGGGAGAAGTTCTCTGCCTTGTTTTTACACATGCTCACTGATTGAATGCCATGATGCAGATGCTTTTATCCAATCTTTTAATAACCAGCGCCTAAAAATTTCAGATACAGTGGCACCAATGAAATCAAATATTGTTTCCCTTAAAAAAACATGTCCTTGGCTTGATCAAACTATTTTAGAAGAAATGGTAGAAAAGTTTAATGTTTGTCTTCTAAACTTGAGGTCCATAGGCTTCGGCTGAGAGAACTAATGGCTACCCTAAATTAGATGCTAAGAAATGCGAGAACTCAATTCTTTTCTCAGCTTATATCCTCTAAAAAGTAAAACCCTAAAGTCTTATTTGAAACTTTAAATGCAATAGTTTCTCCTCCTGCCCCTGAAGCAATATTGTCCTCAAAATCAGACTGTAATGAATTCCTTCATTTCCTTGTAAGTAAGATTAGAGTTGTTAGGGCAAGTATCTCTCCTTCACTTACTCAGAACTCTGCAGGTGATCTGTACTCTACACATTCTTGGTCAAATTTTAAACCGGTGACTTTACATCTCTCTTCTACATAAACAGAAACCCTCATCCTGTCCTATGGATGTCCTCCCAACTGTGCTATTTATACAAGTATTTGAATCTATTTGCCCCTGTGTTGTGAATATGCTTAATGCCTCACTTTTAACTGGTATCCTTCCTACTTTTTTTAAACGTGCTGTTGTTAAAGCAGTACTGAGAAAACCCAGAGTGGATCCATTACAGCCTAAGAGCTACAGGCCAATATCCAAACTTCCATTCAATTAAATATTTTAGAAAAAGTTGTACTGTAGTTGAACAACTCACCACTCAGAGAACCACGAGCTGTTTGACAAATTCCAGTCTGGTTTCCATGAAAAAATATGCCAAAGAAACTGCATTACTTAATGTTTCTAGGGACATTCTGATGTCAGCTGACTCTAAGAAATACACAGTCCTGGTTCTATCAGACCTTTCATCTGCTTTTGATACTGTTGATCATAAAATTATGAGAAATAGACTATGTGATCTGATTGGGATGTCTGGTTCAGTTTTAAAATGGTTCTCATCTGACATTTTGGGAAGAAGTTTTAGTGTTTATATCAATCAAGTCATGTCGGAAACGGCACAGTTGTCTTGTGGGGTACCTCAGGGGTCTGTCTTGGGACCCATTCTGTTCCTTTTGTGCGTATTTCCACTGGGTCAGATAATCAGGCAGCTCAGTGACATATCTTACCACCAGTATGCAGAAGATATTCAACTATATTGCTCTTTCAAGGACACTGAATTTAATCAAATGTCTTCCTTAAATAAATACCTGACCAGCATTAAACAGTGGTTATGTGACAATTTCCTACTTCTGAACGTTGAGAAAACTGAAACACTAATTATCGCACCTGAAAGTAAAATCCCTCAGATAAAGAAACATATAGCTGACTTAGGCTTGTCTGTTCAGCTGAGCCTCAGGAGCTTAGGTGTTGTGTTTGATACAATGATCTCCTTGGAAAATCACTCTAAACGACTAGTTAGGAACTGTTACTTCCAACTAAAGAATATTTCCAAATTAAGACCGACTGGTGTCAAAAGGTGAGTTGGAAATTATTATTCATGATTTTATCTCCTCACTGTTAGACTATTGCAAAAGTTCTTTTACTTGCTTGAGCAACAAGGAGCTTTACCATCTCCAGGTTGTCCAGAACTCTGCTGCAAGGCTTTTAACTGACATTAACCAAAGAGAACACATTACACCAGTATAGAGTCAAGTTCCTTCCTACATCTCTGGGATGATAGCGCTCCATACTCTGTCCCATAGTATGAGGTCAACAGGCCAAACATTGTTAGTTGTTTCACACACTTGTTTTAAACCAGAGGGGATTGTTCATTTCAGTCAGTGGCTCCGAGGCTGTAGAATGCTTCCCCTCCTTTTTTACGCTGTATGAATTCTGTTGATTCTTTTAAAAAGCAACCGAAGATGTTGCTTTTCAAGCAGGCTTTTAATTAGACGTGTGTTTTTATCTATGTATTTTTCCAATTTTTTTATGTTGATATACAGGTACATTGTATTCTACATTGTTTTATTGGATTACATTTTTACTTTGAAGCACTTTGTGATATTTATCTGTATAAAGTGCTACACAAATAAATTTGACTTACTTGCTAACTTACTTAACATTTGTATTAATGATATCTATAGGTCCAAGAGGGATTAAGTTTTTTTTTTTTTTTACAACCAATTTCTCTTTGTTTTTGGTGGAGCTATTATTTTTTGATGGACATCAGGCCTGTTCACCATCCTGTGAGTCCACAGAGGTTTTTCATTGCCATCTTGGTAGTCTGTCACCTTTCAGTGAGTGTGATGGCTAGTTAACACCCCATTAATCTCTATATTCTAACACATTTATAAAATCTTACTTGTCCCGTTGCTTTGTATGGGAAACTAGTGGCTGTGGTAGCTTTTAGAGCATATCTGGCCTCTTCCCCAATTCCTTATAAAAAAACTTTGATTCTTAAACAGATATATATTTAGATAGAACTGTGATAAAAAAAGTATTGTTTTATTGGGTATTGGTTTCTGTTTTATTATTTCTTCCAGTTTTTATAGTTTACTTGATTTCCTTATTTTTGATTTTCTCATTAGTTCACTGTGTTTTTTTCTAGGTTAAGAGTTTGAAGACTGAAGCATTTAAACTTCAAGTAGAATTATTTTGCAATTAAACTAGTGCATTTGTAGAGTGTGTTTATTCTTTATATGTGACCTTGCAGTTTGAAAACTGTGGGTTCTCACTTGTTCATGTATTGCTCTATAAAATCTTACCAAGGAATTGGCAAAGTCATTTCTCTGTGAGCTAACCCAGTAAAAAAAATAAATGATTTATTTTATCAGAGTAAGAAGTGGGTCTAAAAGTATCATTGTATTAAGGATTGAATAAAAGTATAAATGCCTGCCACACATTTTGGATTTAAGCTTTTCTTTATGCTAAAAACTAGGTAATCAGTCTCAGCTGTTTATCATTTTACACTTTGTCAATCAATGGCATGAAATATTAATGAATACATTGAAGTTTGTGGTTTTGATTTGCCATGATGTTAATAAAAGTTCAGCTGTTATGAATATTTCTCTTATGGAATAACCTCTTTTTAACTCACCTTTAACAGTTGAAGTGTTATTGCTGAACTTTTACAGACTCAGCTACTGTTCTGCAATATACTGGGGAAAAGAATAACCTAATTTTCTCTTTAAATAACCCTGTATTTGCAGGAAAGGTTTCCCTGTCTTGTGACTCATGCTACCCTGGATACCTGCTGTCAGATGGGAGGTGTGAGTCTATGTGCGATATAGGCCAGTACCCTGTACTGAAGGTAACCTCACTTTTCCTGGTTTTAATTTCACAATAATTAACTTTTTTAATCTAAAATATATTTAGTACTTATCCGAAATAATAACTTATGTTTGGGCCTGGGGTACCATAAAACGTAATTCGGAACAACTTTTCGCTTCAGCTGAGGCAGTCTCAAAGAGCAGGGTGAAATTTATTACAGTGAGTCATTTTCTAAATAAATCTTCCTGCTCCCTCTGCGAGGCTGCTGATTGAGACTGTTTGACAGGTAGAGATGCATGCTAATAGGCTCTTGCAAGGAAGCTGTAACTCAGGGACTAAAAAAAAGCATTTTGGAATCTTGATATAATAATTTATATAACATATATATATATATATATATATATATATATATATATATATATATATATATATATTATAAATTGTTTAAGTTGCCTCTTTCTCTCAGCAGGGCTCAGACCCCATGTGTGAAGACTGTGATGGCTCTTGTCAGGAGTGCCGGGGACCCAGTCCGTACAATTGCACCTCCTGTTCTGCTCAGGGGATCTTAGAAGCCAGTGGGCGTTGTCTACCGTGTTGCCGTTATGATGAGGAATGGAAAGAGATTGAAACCCTACAGGAGGATTGCTGCAACTGCACTGAGACTCGAGGTTAGCTACAGAAAACTGATGCTGATTGAAAATGGCTAAACAGGTAGAATCATGACAGACAGATATGATCAACAGATAAACTATTAAAACTATTGATATGACTAATTATTTGTTTATTTTACCCTAAAATACTTCTTCAAATAAATAAAGCTTCAATCAGTAGGAGCTCAGTGTTTGGAAAATAGTTGTTTGTGAAGTTGCAACCCCAGACTGCAGTGCTGCTGGACAGAGAAAAAATTATGGATGAAACTGAAATATTGCTACTGAAATGAATTCCAAAACGCTGTAATAAATATTTTAAGCCTTGTAAAAAGATAACACTACATTCCTCCCTGTCCAGTGAAACACAGTGGTGGCAGCATAGTGCGTCTTTAGATTGAAAAGGTCAGGAAGTTTTGAGGATATTTTTGCAGAAAACTCTTATTTTGTTCTTTGTTTTTATAAAAGTAAAATCTTACTTTCCTGTTGCGATGTTTAAAATGTATTATTTAATATAATGTATTTTCCTGATCTGAATCCTGTTTAATGTACAGCTGTAGAATCTTTTCTTATTTTAGTTCTCCCTCAGGCAATGATAAAACAATCTGATATTGGGGAGTTAAAATGGCAGTGTCCTTTAAATTTTGCTATCATGTAAACACACCATCATACTTCCATTTATAATTCAGGAGTACATCTGTAGTTGATTTCTTGCTTTTTTTTTCAGGACATTGCATCCTCAGCACGAACTTGGCATTCACAAATGAAGAGGCAGAGGAATCTAAAGGGAACCTAACCATCTTCATCATTGCCTCCATCCTGCTTGTCCTGGGACTTGTCGGCGTCGTCTTCCTCATCAGACACTCCCGGTCAAAAAGTGGGCCATCAGACCTGCCACCCCGTGGGTATAAAAAGCTTGGTTCTGGTGGGGGTTTTGGAGGCGGCAGCATATATCGCGGCAACACCTCTTCCTCTTCTACCTCTTACGGTGGCCCCTCTGGAGGCCGATTCCAAGAAGCTGAGCTGGTGGACATCGGCACACGTCACTCAGGGAATAAGGATGATGACGACGATGACGATGATGAGGACATTGTTTACATGGGCCAGGATGGCACAGTGTACAGGAAGTTTCGTTATGGACAGCTGGGTGATGACAATGAAGATGATCTAGAGTATGATGATGAGAGTTACAGATTCAGATAAAAGAGCAAAAATGGAGCACTCGTCTGTTTTCTTGTAACTTTTCTGCCTTCCTGTTTTCTCCTCTGTAATGTTATTCTTGCTCTGCCCTGAGGGACAGATCTATTTATCTTCACTGAATGAGCTCAGTCAAATGAGATTTGAGAAGCTATTTATAATAAGCAGCATTTTATGACTTCTATCCATTCAAAAAATGAAATGTGTTGCAAACATAAATCCATACTTCCCATGCTTAATTTCTGTGATACTGCATGTGGCTGTCACCCATCTACATAGGTTGTTTGGCATTTATCTATTAAAGTTTACAAATTTTAAGGCAGACGCCAAACAGTAATTTGGTAACAGTATTTTACCTTGTTTTTATTAGATATAGAGCATCGTTAACAGTAATGATAGCAATTACAGAATGTCAAAAGAATTATTCCTCTAACAGCAAAGATGATTTCCACTGTCCTTTAAGGCTTGGTCCATTGATTCCATTTTTAACTCATCTTGTGTAGTTTTTTTTTTTTGTTGTTTGTTTGTTTTGGTGACACTATTTCACTTTATTTGCAGTAATCATAGAGGAACAGGACAAAAACAGAAGACATTGTAAAACATGCAGTAAAGGTTCCAATATTGGGAACAAAACTCCAAACTGTCTCCGTCTAAGACCTATGAAACATGAAAATTGTTCAAATTATACAATAAAATGGAACGAATATTTACCATGAAGTTATTGTGCTTCTGATCGTTGATAAAGGTCTTCATTGTGAATTTAATGGAAAAAAGGGTACTGCAGGATTAGTACTATATATATATTTATATATATATATATATATATATATATATATATATATATATATATATATATATATATATATATATATATATATATATGAAATTATATAAATATTTTCTATTTTAAATTTAAAGAATCAAAACAGAATCAGTAGAGATAATTTTAATAAACTAATTAAAGTCTTCATGCATTTCATAATCTTAGGTGGTCCAAGTGCTCAAAACAAAACATTTAGTTTGTTACAAATAAACTGATGGTTTGATGAAGCTCGGACTGTGTTTTAAAGTATTTCAGCCAATTTAGACTTATATTGTTTGCATTCATTTATTCTTTCATACTTGAAAAGACCAAGTTTAGCAGAGATACTTTGCTGCTCTTCTGCTCAAAATCTGATAAAACAAAGTCTTTAAAATTATTTTGGGGGCTATGTGACTGCTTATATATATATGTTGTTGGTCAACCCAAATTCAAAGATCTTGATTAGTCAATGAATCAGCAGGGCCAACTACAGATGGCCATAACAAATTAGTCTCTGACAAATAAATTGTTTTCATACGCGGCTGCAAATATTAGCTTGAACTTAAATCTGTGGCTCAGTCACTTGCTGACAACATCATCTCGTTGCCAGAACGTTGCATTTTCAATGCATGATCTAGTGTCCTAAGATCCCTTTGTACCCTTCCTATAGACATTTCAACTTCTTTTTTATTATTATTTTAGTCATCTTTATAACTGTTCCTGACTCATTAAAAAATCCTAATATTAACCTTATGTAATAATGTCCAATATAAAACCAGAGAAATCTTCAATTGCCACCAAGAAAATATAAAGTTGTAATTCATCATTTCAACATAATGTGATATTTGTGCGATTTATTTTGTAATTCAATGGGTGTTTACAGTACAATTACTGAATTGTCTCTCTTTCACCTTTATCTTAGAATAACAGTGGATTATTAGATTATGGAAAATGGCCTTAAAGACAAGAAAAAGCTGCAAAAAATATAAGAAACGCTTGATTTAATTATGTTCCCCAGAATATAAATTATTATGTTCCCTTTAATGATTTAGACATTAATACTAAAAAGAAAGCATGCATTATTTTTGTCCATGTTTTGCAAAAACCTTTAAAGTTTTGAAAAAAGTGAGTTGGTTCGATCTGTGTTTTGAAGTTCTGAGTATCTGGGATTAAATTAAAATGACTTCAGAACCTGTTAATAACCAGGTCACTTATGCCTTAACAGCTTGGACCTTAAGAAGGGTCTTCTCTGTCCTTATATGTATTATATAAATTGTATAATTACTATGCAATTTATTTTTAAGAAAAAGTAAAACATTTATTTTTTTTTCCTAGTGCTTTTCACTAGGAAAGAAAGTTCCACTAGTGCTTGTAATGTCAGTAGATTTTGTTTCATTGCTCATGTTCTGTCTTGTGCTGTTTGTTAATCGTTTGTCATTATAATTTTAATTTAGATAAATGCTTTTGAAACAAGGTGGCTGATAGGTAGATACAAAAGCAAACTCAACAGAAAAACATTTCAAAGGAAAACATCACAAAATACTAAAAGAAAAATGCCCTGCAAAAACCAAAAACCAACAGCTAGTCGAAATAGCTGCAATCTTGCTTCACAAAATTGTAACGGTAATGCTCATGACCACTAGGGGGAGATAAACACTAAGTCTTTGTGTTATGTCCTCAGTAAATGCATTGATTATTTGCCCAGAAGGTTGGAGAGAACAAAGAAAATCATTTTTTTTTTCATGTCTTTTTTAAATACCTGGCTCTAATCTTTTACAGTGTTAGAAAAGCACCACGTCCCATGACATGGTGGTCAACTCCCCCTAGTGGTCAGGTGCACTTCCGTTTTGTGCCTCAAGTGTACAGCTTTTTTTCTAACCTGCAGTTCTTTTCAGTATTTGCAAAATTCTTTTCTCTCCGTCTATAATTTGAATAAAATTACTTTTAATTTGATTTGTTACTAGTAGGTTTTCTCTTCACTCTCTTTGTTGCAATAGTACCAATATAATTCCTGCAGCAATTTTAGTTTTTTTGTACGCTCGCTTGTTTTCAGTTTGCACCATCCATGTGATTTCAGAAAATCTCCCCTTCTGAGCCACGCTTCACACCTGTTTGCACCTTTGCAAGGTGGCAGCATAGAAGTTAAATCCTCAAGACAAAGATGAGAACTGCATACATGCTTTGAATTGCTTTTATTGAATCAATAGACAGCAGTTTGTTCACTTTTTTCAGACTCATTAAGACACATAAGTTTGATCCATCAGTTATGTGATGTGGGACCATGCACTGATGTACAAATAGACACATGCATGTGGACACACTGATGGGATATTGTGCTTTACTGGAATCCCATCATTTAGATTGACTGAGGTTTTACGTGAGAAGCCAGCAGTTGCTAAAGGTACGTTTCCCAGTTTGTTTCACCCAAAACACACACACATCCCACACACACACACACACACACACACATACACACACTTGGAGAAAAAAAGGCTTGAAATGCATCCTGCCAAACATCAGTGACAGTTTGATTTCCTATTTACTCACTCCTGCTTGGCTCCCACATAAACACAATAAAGTTTAAATATCTATTTATATCTATTTATTTATTTCATACAATAAGGACAATATATAACATTAGGTTACCTAATTGCAGGTCTGTTCTAAATTATGGCACAAGTTTTTTTTGTTTGTTTTTTGCCATCCTCTGGTCCTTTTTCATGTAAAACAGCTGACATAAAAATGTACCTCTCACTCTGAGTAAACACATAAGGTGTTGTGTTATTGCTGCGCTGCATTTCATGCACCTAAATAAAATACAGTTTCTAAAATTGAATTCTGGAGGATCACTGTTTTGTGTAATTGCATTCATTTTTTTTAACCACAAACAACATCAGTGCTACTCTGCTGATGCTTGCAAGCATCACACACTTGACTATAAGGGTTGTTTCAGCTGCAGTTTTACAGTGCAGCAGATGCTACGGTTAAAATTGATCAGAGTTTTAACAGGTTCTACAGTAGGTTGTGTTTAAATGAAACTGCTGTGTCTTAGAGAAGAAAAAAAAAAAACACTGATGCACATACACACACACACAGGCAGCACTTTTCAAGCTTGACCCGTTCGTTGCCGTTACTTCTTGAGGTGTCCCATTAATTCAGGATGCTGTGGTTTATGAGCTGCTGGCACCAGCTTGGTCTTGTCTGCTGAGAGGTTGGAAAAAAGACACACACAAAAAAAAGGTAGACTAGTTAGGATGGGTGTGTTTAGGTCTTGATGCCACTCTGTGGACATATGGCCATTTGTCTTTTATATGTGAACTTTAACATCTTTGAGGACTTACTCTGTTCTGCTGGCTGCTGCCATCTCGGTCCCCTGCAGGAAACTATTTATTCTTGACAGAAGAAACAAATGGAGACATTGTTAGAGGACGATTTACTGTTGTAATATGCTTCCATGCAGGGAATTTGAAGGCTTGTGCAATTTATGATTTGCAGCACAATTAGGCTGCGAGTGATTAGTGTTTGAAGTCTGCATCCTTTGGTTATACAGTTATTATTGGTGTTATAAATCTATATGGAATAAAGACTGCTTCATTTATTTTACTGTAAGGATAAATTAGATGAGAGCAAAACATTTAGCATCCTTAGCAACTCTTGTATTTTTATTTTTCAATCTAATTGTAAACACAGCCAAATAAAACTGGTCCTCATCCAAGAAAGGAGCTGATCTAATCAATGCACACTCAAGACAAGGATAAAAACCAAGAAAGAGACCATCGCCTCCACAGAGGTAGGTTATGAGATGCATGACAGACAATGCTTACTTTGAGTTTTCTGCTGCTTCTTTCAGTTCTTTGTCAAGTCTAGAGGTGGAAGTTCAAAAAACAAGTTGAATACGAAGCCATTAGTACAAATCAGGTTTGCAGTGGATGCTCATGGTGCAACACTCAAGGGCTAAGAGGGACTCACTTAATGATGCACTCTGGGATCTGGATGCTGTCCATTGGGATTAACTCCCGCAGTTCATCTAAACTGTTCACATACTTGATCTTGCTGCTGAACTTGGCGCTGAAGCAGGAGAAATATGTCCACATTTACTGAAGTGCAATGATAAAATGCATGCTCCTATCAGGGCTAATTTTAAGATGTGTAACCAAAAAACATGAAGCACTCACTTAAAGGAGCCAAGGACACATTTGGGTTACACATCTTATATCCGAAAATGATAACAAAATAAATAATGTTCATATAAAAACTACAAACACTTTAATTTATTCGAAACTTCGTTATAATATTACCATACCTGACTAAAATAAAGGAATAAATAATTGGGAAACAATAGCTGGCTAGTAGACAATGTTCATTACTGACAGTTAATAAACTTTACTGATTACATTCCAAAGACAATGCTAAGGAATTGGGAATCCATTGTTGCCTTTCTTGGTGGTATAGTTAATATTTGATGCATAATTAAATAGCCTTTTTTTTTTTTAAAGAAAAAGGTCAAGTTAAAACAAGATTTTCTATGGGAAATGGCCTGTACTTATACAATGCTTTTTTCAAGTCAGGAGACTTGAACAAAGCACTTTTCACTATACTTAGTCTTTTGTAAATAAAAACCTTTAAGTGGGGTATAAAAAAAAAAAAAATTCTTTAGGTGAGCATTTCTATATAAATTGTTTTATATATAAATTCTCACCTAAAGAAAAATAATTTTTTTGTTATTTATGGTCATATATGATATCAAAATCTTCAGAATCTTCAGAAATATAATGCATTTTCACTAACTGTAAGCTGAAACACTTCCAAATTAACAGAGATGAATATATGGTACATAAGTCTAGAAATAAAAATAATAAACTTTAATTGTTTTAGATCAATGTATCCATCAGAATAAGAAGTCATACCTAATGTTTTCTACTACCAATGTTTTAAA